ACAACTTCATTCTTTGACAGACTGAATTGAAAACAAGAAAAAATATTCTGCTGGTTTTTATAGAGTGCAATATGGACAGCACAACTTAAACACTTTGCTCTTTTCTGGTAATATGGTCATGATTTATATACTTGCAGCTAGTAATAGATGAAGAAAAGGTGGTGTTGCCTCAACTTCAAAGCTTTTGTAGGCTCCAGACCAGAAGAACCCTTTATAGAGAACCCTCTAGACCATATTTCACCCATCATAATGCAAGTAAACTTCTATCAGGAATGAATTGTTAAGTATTCGGCTGCTCTATCTTTTAATAATAAATCTTTCATCTTTTTATAATAAGTCTGTGAGCATTTGGAAGCACTAAGGACCCATTTCTGAAGTCGCTGTGCATACAAAACTGGCAGTGAAGTCAGCTGACCTCCATGCACAGATACTCGAGGTGAGGTGAGGTGTTTCCAATGACTGCTTGCAGTCAGTCACTACAAAAATCAGAACTAAAATTTTATCAATCTCTTGTCAGACTGAATGGGTCAGACCTTGCAGGTAATATAGTAAATGTATAAAATATATATTTTTACATATAATACTGTCTATAATAAGAAAATTCAAGAAAACAGACCAATGAGTTCCCTTGTTTTGGCTTCAATCTCTCCCAAAAGAGTCTCAGGATTGGCACATATTTTTTCTTCATCTGCACAGTAACTCTCTAAAAATTTCCTATATTCTGGATCTGCGAAGAAAAGTTTTTGGAATATATTAATACTTTGCAATGCACAACAGAAATGAATCTACTTTTCACTGTGACATCAGAAAAATATGTTTACCATCTTCAATGCTCCCGGCTTTTGCATCTTTTTTCTTTAATTTCTTTTTTGAAATCTTCTGGAATGGAGCAAATTCAACTACTGCAGGATACTCTAAACCTTAAAAAAGATCAAACGTTTAATTTTTATTTTGGAAAACATTTCTAATATTCAAGCAAAACTATTCAGATTGGTTTCAGGCAGATTTAGTTGAAATCAAGGGTATTTTTTTTTTAAATGCCATCCTAAATTTCTGAAGAGTCTGCTCCCAGTGGACTGGGACACAATACAACCAGTGTTATGTTTATGTATCACTATTTTAGATTCAAAATAAAATAAATTTATATTTGAATTATACACTTAAACATTAAGCATTACTTTGACATGCAAACAAATACTGTCCAAAAAAAAAAAAAAAGAATGAGCAGTGCAGCCTCATAACTTTCTTACATTACCACTTCTAATTATTTGTTCATTCCTCAGAGATTGGCCTTGAGTAGACAAACTGACATAAAACCTCAGCCTGACAAATGAAAAACTACTCCTGGCAAATAAGCTTGAAGCAGCTGAGTTGCTTTTATCAAGTTGTGCTGCCAAAAAGCTAAAAGAATATATAGATAGAAGATAATACATGATCAAAAAAAAAAAAAAAAAAAGGGAAAAAGCCACCTTCTTTTAGAACCAAAGTTCTAAAATTCTGCATGTAGAACCATGCAAAGCTTTTTTTTCTATTTATGTTGGAAGGTACAATTCTTTGTCTGCGTTTATTGGCATGGATTCTTTCTTTCTGAATTTGCCTTAAATGAGGGACTCTTCTCTGACAGGAGTCAGAGCTGTTACCTGCAGCTTTTGAATCTTGCCTGGTTTCCACTCATGGCTATGAAGTAGGTTCACGATCTCTCAAAGTTTGCACAAGTCCACCGAATATTTGGCTTTAATCAGCCATTATGTTTGTAAAGTTGCCCCTGGCAATCCCTCTTCTAATTTTAGCCTGGTAAATGCAATGCCAACACAAGACTCACAAGGGGGCATCCTGAATCGAAACTTGTGCCCGTTATTTAAACAAGCATCAAGCCCAGCTGGTTGTAGCAGTGTCCAAACTCAGTTTTGCTAAGTACTGAATATTCTGGCTTAAGTCCAGCGTAACACTGAAGGAAATGCCTCATTTAGACAAAGTGAAGTCCTTGCCGAATTACAAAAATGATTCGTTCCTACCTCTTTTGCCAATCAGATGTTGAGGCAGAGCAGACACTAATATTGCTAATACTGCCCAATACTTCTCATTTGATCTTGTTCTCAGTTGCTTTTAATTTTACTACTCTTATCATCCAGCATTGAGATTCTGTGTAACAGATTTCTGCCTCAACCCAAATTTCAGCTAAACAACCCAGCTCTTTTTGGGAACAAGTTAAGGAAGAATATGCAGGTTAAAAAAAAAAAAAAAAGACAGGGGACCTGCTAAAGAGGAGCTATCCTGCTTCCTACTTTAAAACAGAGTTTGAAACCTGGAAAGCACACTCTGTGAGGAATGTGCTATATTTGATCTTCAGCAAAATGCATCCAAAGCAGACAAAGTTAGATGCTTATAAAGATATCTTAGTTAAGAAATATTGAATAGAAATTTATTGTTTTGGCAGGTATATTTTGTACTTCGTTACTTCAAAGTGGTAAGATTTTCTAGTAGCATTTTTACGTAATTAACTGTATGTCGAGAAAAAAATCTATAGAGTAAAAAAAAAAATCCATGTTCTGTAGTGGCAGATATAGATACATTTAAAATCTTTAAAACAGTCCAACCTTTATTATCAATGAAGACATAGCCATCAAAGCGATCTCTGAAAAGAAGGATGTCCTCAGGATTTCTAAAGTTAATGTATGCTCTTGAGTAGAGATGTGGGTAAAGGCTGCAACAAGAAATATTTTTTTTCTGTTACTCGCAATTCTGCTCAGTACCAAAAAAAAAAAAAGTAAAACAAGAAGGGTTGCACCATAATTGTTACCTTTGGGAGATGGTTAGCTTAAATACACATATCAATGTCTTTACACATACATACAAAAACTACATAGATGACAATAAACAACTGAACTGCTGCATTCCTGGGTCTAATTGTGAAATTTATTCTGAACTGAGACAAATATGTCTCGTTTACTCTGTCTTCCCACTACAGAGCATTTGTTTCTATTCTGCCAGATCAGAGAATTCAGTCTAGTTTTTAATGACTTAAGAGATATGACTAACTGCAGTGCTTTTTGATAACTGCTTGAGCGTGCTAAGGAAGTCTTCAGTTCCTGAAATAGCAGAGGAAAAGTAAAAGCTCCCAGTCAATGGGCAGTTGCTAAGCTGGCACTGCATTTAAAAAGACTTCCAGCTTTAGGAAATACTAAATAACTTAATTACAGGCAAAATAACAGTCAGTGGTTTAAAAACAAATAATCTCCACATATGCGTATGAATATGTATGCTACATCTCGTTCTGGATAATAGTCACTGTGAAAATCCAAAACATTTCTAGCAGAGAAAAGAACATGTACTTACCCGAAATCATTCTGGTGCTTCAAGAACTGGTTGGCACAGACCCCACCGTGGCCGTGTAACCTGTCTCACGCGCGCCCCATCAGAACCGCAGGCCGGCAGACGCCCAAGCCCCACGCAGCTGCGCGCAGTTACTGACTTACTGCCCACTAGCCAAGAGACCGAGAGCCCTGCCGGGCACGTGCCTTAACCCTCCCCAAGGTTATCATGTAAAACGCTTTAGCTTAAACCACCTTCAGTGAGGCTAAGATGGAGTGGCTCAGTCAATGGCTGGCCATTTATTTTTAATAAATTTGAATATAAGCCAATTTTAAAATGTATTTGAACATAAGTCCCAAAGTTTTAGCTACCCGTGTTCAAGTTAATATCCCCACACATGACAGCTCTTCAGAGTCAGTGGCAGCTTCAGGAAACAACACAAATAGTTGCAGCCATGTTTAAATGCCACAGCTGATGCTGTACCACGTTTGCCAAGGCCACAGAAAGGTACCACCAAACGAGCAACGTGTTTTCAAGCATCCCTCTGTGCAGGCTGCAGGCGGTGTCAGCCTCCTGATAACTGCCCGAGGACGGCAACACCACCAAGCCTGTAGTTTAACACAGAACTGCCGAGGTTTGCTCGCTTCGGTGCCGTGCCAGCCAGGGAATGCTCATCATGGGCACAGAGCAGCAGGGCTAAGGAAGGCATTTCACTCGCTGACCCGATTTTGATGTTCTAGGAAATGAACAGCTCTGAGGGAACTCTTAAGCAAGGAACCACAGAAATACCGGCTTGGACACAGCTGGGACCACGCTGCCAATGGGAAGCTGCTCTCAGAAACAGGGAACTTCCTTCTCTTTCACTTTAGCAGGACTATCCTTATGAGTCAATATATGCTCTATACATTCTTTGAAGTTTAAATGAAATGAGGCTGGGTACTTAGAGCTTAATATGATTGTATGTTTGAAGTATTTAAGATCCTCAAGACATTAAGAGAAACTTTGAAGGAACATTATTTTCTTAGCCCAGTCATCAAGATAATTATCCAAGACGGGTGGAGTGCTGAGTTTCAGTTCCTAATCTAACACCTATTTCAGTGTCTTGTTAATCTTCAGCTTTTGTAAAATGATGTAAAATGTAAAAAACTCTCTTCAGATCAAAGACTCAGACAAGGGTATTGACCACTACAATACCATAGTGCTGTCTCAGTGCAGAGCAGAACAGCATCAGAGAGTTGGATTTCTTTTTTCCTGCAGTAAGTTAAAACCTTGTGGTTGGGCACATGAACATGATAAAACAGAACTGAAAATAGTAAGACTTATTCCTTCCTTGTTTTCTTTAGTTTTTATAGCAATGGCATCTGCTTCCTGTCTACTTTGGCACCTTCATCTTTTCCTGGTACACGACATGCTACTTTTCTACCGTTTTCAGCTTAGATCTATCCAAATGACTATCTTTCAAAACAGAAGAGCATTTGACACGGTTACTAAGCAGTTATTACTCATATTAGGAAGAGAAAAATGAAGGGTCTGAAATATGTAAATAGAAGTCCGGAAAGCGTGGGCTTAGATTTCATCTTGAAGATATTAATGGGTTCCAGTGTAGTTGCTACACATTCCTAACATCCTTAAGAACTTCATTCCCCTTAGCAGAAACATATGAAGACATGAGAACATGCTTGTGCACAGCAGGATACTCCTGTTCACGGTTATTGCAGGAAAGAGGGACCATGTCTCTACTGCTGCTCATATATATATCATGGAAGAACATTATAGTGATGTGTCTAGGACAACGCTGGGTGATTACAAGCTCTCTTTAATGCAGTCACTCCTTCAAAGAGACAGTTCCCAGATGCCTGCAGGTCAGAGGGTTTAATATATGGATGCCTGAACGCAGAATGGAATTTAGATCCTTGTCCTACACTTCTTACCTGTGATAGAGTAGGCAAGGTGTCAAAAAATCTGTAAAAACCACATTCTGAAAGGAAGGCAACTAAGACTAGGAGACAGATGCTTAGCAGGGGCCTATATAAGAAATAATATCACTTACTCCTGGCATCAGATACCAACGTTGACTACAGGTCCCCACATCTCTCCCCCTTCTAAATTCTCTTTTAAGCTGTCCACAAAGAGCCGCTCAGCGTGACTGCGCAGCAGAGCACGCGCCCTTCGGCGGCCGGTGCCCGGTTTTCGCTCCTCAGGACGCGGCCCTCCACAGGCCGCAGCTTTCGCTCCTCAGGACGCGGCGCTCCAGCCGCGCGCCCCAGCTCCTGCTCTGCCAACGGCCGCTGCACGCGCTGCCGCCTCCTTTCCGCGGTGCCTCTCTGCACAGATCGCCATCAC